TAAACATGATATAGTGTTTAGTGGAATGCATAAGGAGTCAAATTGTGTTAAAAAGAGCGATTTTTAGAAAATTTGGAAAACTACTTTTTCTGTTCAAATTATAACTAAATGGATTTTAAAGGTTTCACTCAGCCAATATATATCATTCACAATTTATTAATGAATTTTACAAAAAAACACCATCAATTTTATATTTAAACATGTAAAAACTATTTGTTTTACATTTGGAAGAAAATAATTGTAGAAAAACAATTTATAATTAAACCTTTGTGTTTGGATTTTTTGAGTAAAAGTTTCTCAAAGGCTCTCCTGCACCATTCTCAATGCAAATCATTCCCACACCTTTGGGAAGAGATAGGCGAACGTTGTGTAGATGATTTGTGTTTGCTGGGTGCACTGCCACCAGCCGTCACCACTAGCCGCCACCACCGCCACCAGCTGCCACCGCCCGCCACCAGCCGCCACCACCAGCCGCCACCTGCCACCAGCCGCCACCACCGCCCGCTATCAGCCGTCACCGCCCGTTGCCACAGTCGCCACCACAAGCCGCCACCGCCAGCCGCCACCAGCCCCCACCACCGCCGATCGCCACCACCCATCACAGCCGCCGCCGCCCGCCACCGCCCACCACTACCGCCCGCCACCGCCGCCACTGTCCGCCACCGCCAGACACAGCCGCCAGTGTCCGCCCGCCACCACTGTCCGCCACCGCCACCACTGTCCGCCACCGCCACCACTGTCCGCCACCGCCACCACTGTCCGCCACCGCCACCACTGTTCGCCACCGCCACCACTGTCCGGCCGCCGCCACCACTGTCCGCCCGCCGCCACCACTGTCCGCCCGCCGCCACTGTCCGCCTGCCGCCACTGTCCGCCCGCCGCCACCACTGTCCGCCCGCCGCCACTGTCCGCATGCCGCCACTGTCCACCACCGCCGCCACTGTCCGCCACAGCCCCCACTGTCCGCCACCGCCACCACTGTCCCCCGCCGCCACCACTGTCCGCCACCGCCACCACTGTCCGCCACCGCCACCACTGTCTGCCACAGCCGCCACTGTCCGCATGCCGCCACTGTCCACCACCGCCGCCATTGTCCGCCACCGCCGCCAATGTCCGCCACAGCTGCCACTGTCCGCCCGCCGCCACTATCCGCCACCGCCGCCACTGTCCGCCCGCCGCCACTGTCCGCCACCGCCGCCACTGTCCGCCACCGCCACCACTGTCCGCCACCGCCGCCACTGTCCGCCACCGCCGCCACTGTCCGCCACAGCCGCCACTTTCCGCCTGCCGCCACTATCTGCCACCGCCACCACTGTCCGCCCGCCGCCACTGTCTGCCCGCGCCACTGTCCACCACCGCCGCCACTGTCCGCCCGCCGCCACTGTCCACCACCGCCGCCACAGCCGCCACTGTCCGCCCGCCGCCACTATCCGCCACCGCCGCCACTGTCAACCACCGCCGCCACTGTCCGCCCGCCACCACTGTCCGCCCGCCACCACTGTCCGCCCGCCGCCACTATCCGCCTCCGCCGCCACTGTCCGCCACAGCTGCCACTGTCCACCGTACAGCCTCCCTTCTCTCCGTTAGTAAATAATTATAATTGTTAGTAAATAATAAAAGAAATATAAATTATTTGATTTTTTTACCCTTAAATTGGTTTTAATATTTAAATTGAAAATAATAATATAATATAAAATAAAATATTATAAAAATAATGTAATATAAAATAATATAATTTAATTTCAAGAAATTTAACTTTAAACACAAGGATGTGAAAAGGGTTCAGATTATAGGCTCAAGCCTTTCATAAGAGATTCATATTGGTATATGAATGGATTATGAATGACTCATGTTAGGATTGTAAAGTTGCCACAACATCTCAAGTTAGTGTTAGATACGTAGGTTTTGGTTATAAGTTTTGGAAACCTATTAAAGTCCACACAAAATATCGTATCTGATACGATAAAACAAACGTTTCCAATCATTTCAAATACTTTCCAGATATGTTGTGGCAACCTTAAATTGTTTGCTGGGAGAGGGGTGAGGTGGGGGGTGAGGGAAGGATGAGAGAGGGACGACTGGTAGAGTGTGAGAGGGACGACTGGTAGAAGGTGAGAGGGACGACTGGTAGAAGGTGAGAGGGACGACTGGTAGAAGGTGAGAGGGACGACTGGTAGAAGAGTGAGAGGGACAACTAGTAGAGGGTGAGAGGGACGACTGGTAGAGTGTGAGAGGGACGACTGGTAGAGGGTGAGAGGGACGACTGGTAGAGGGTGAGAGGGACGACTGGTAGAGGGTGAGAGGGACGACTGGTAGAGGGTGAGAGGGACTGGTAGAGGGTGAGAGGGACGACTGGTAGAGGGTGAGAGGGACGACTGGTAGAGGGTGAGAGGGACGACTGGTAGAAGGGTGAGAGGGACGACTGGTAGAAGGTGAGAGGGACGACTGGTAGAAGGGTGAGCGGAATGACTGGTAGAAGGGTGAGAGGGACGACTGGTAGAGGGTGAGAGGGATGACTGGTAGAGGGTGAGAGGGACGACTGGTAGAGGGTGAGAGGGACGACTGGTAGAGGGTGAGAGGGACGACTGGTAGAGGGTGAGAGGGATGACTGGTAGAAGGTGAGAGGGACGACTGGTAGAAGGGTGAGAGGGACGACTGGTAGAGGGTGAGAGGGATGACTGGTAGAGGGTGAGAGGGACGACTGGTAGAGGGTGAGAGGGATGACTGGTAGAAGGTGAGAGGGACGACTGGTAGAGGGTGAGAGGGACGACTGGTAGAAGGGTGAGCGGGATGACTGGTAGAAGGGTGAGAGGGACGACTGGTAGAGGGTGAGAGGGATGACTGGTAGAGGGTGAGAGGGACGACTGGTAGAGGGTGAGAGGGACGACTGGTAGAGGGTGAGAGGGACGACTGGTAGAGGGTGAGAGGGACGACTGGTAGAGGGTGAGAGGGACGACTGGTAGAGGGTGAGAGGGACGACTGGTAGAGGGTGAGAGGGACGACTGGTAGAGGGTGAGAGGGACGACTGGTAGAGGGTGAGAGGGACGACTGGTAGAGGGTGAGAGGGATGACTGGTAGAGGGTGAGAGGGACGACTGGTAGAGGGTGAGAGGGATGACTGGTAGGGGTGAGAGGGACGACTGGTAGAAGGGTGAGAGGGATGACTGGTAGAGGGTGAGAGGGATGACTGGTAGAAGGGTGAGCTAGAGGACAATAATAGGTGGGATGCACACGGGGCGGAAGTGCACAGGGGGAGATGGAGAGAGAGAGAGAGAGTTGTGTTTACTATTTGTCCCGTCAGAATGAAGCTATTAGCTCATGGAACATGTCTTTCTAACCGTCTATTTTCTTCAATTATGTTTACTACATGTTTTGTTCTGTATCTCACACACACACACACTCACATCTGATGCTCATGTACCTCTCCCCTCCCGCCCCTCTCCCAGCCCTCTCACTTTACCATACTTTATAACCCCCTCCTCCCACCTGTACACCCGCCCCCGCCCCCCACAGTGTAACACCAACACCTCCACTTTCCACCCCAGACCCCCCAACGTTCCCACTCCATCTTACACCCTCCAAAACACTCCCTCCTCCCTCCGTGAACAGAAACACGGAGAGCTAAACTATTAGACATGGCGACTGTGAGAGTTTGAAAGAGGAATAATGGAATGGTTGAGGAACTGAACTCGGAAAATTTCTAAAAATTTTCTTTATCCTTCTAACATTTATTCCTGTCGTGATATTCAATTAGGTCGTCTGAGGAAGGACTTGCTTAGCTAACACACCAGTGTAGTAAGCAGTTCATTCCTCACTCTGTGACCATTTATGAACAATTGACTAGTCGCGAGTAAACGCCGAGACCCCAAAAAGTTGAAATCCCCTCCACTTGGTCGTTGAACCTTCGCTATGCGCCGAAGCGAATCTAGCGAGTAGGTCCTATGCTCTCACAACAATAATTTATTGTTGTGTGGAGCCTTATATTTAGTCCAAAACTCAAGAATCAGTCTCAATTTAATAGTCGAGTGTGAAGAATCACTTGCAGGACAATAATAATGTGTGGGGTGTAACGAATAGACAGTGTTAAACATAACAACTTAGTTTATTGGATAAAGTACTAACTACTACAACAAAACAAAAGAATTATCAATGATGTTACACGAAATCCTTCCTGTGACACTATCAAGGACTGCATAATGAACTAACTCGAACATAAGGTGTGACCACAGAGGAATCAACAAGCAAGCAAGATCAATAATCACACTAGCAACTATGACACAGTAGGTTCTGAAACACGTCTGCAGTAACCTCCTAACTGTTCTACGCCTCTGTGCAGTCTACACCTGCAATAGCGGTTGCAATGCAATCAAATCAGTTGCCTGTCAATGACACATCAATGACTAATGGGTTCACCGGCAACTCCAGCACCATTCCTCTAATTAATCTTTACGTTAACACTCCGTCCCATAGACGATCAACAATCAATAACAATTTGATTTACGTTAATAACAAAGTAACATTTACGTTAATTTAATAACTCTTACAACTGTCACTAGTAACGCGGAAATTACACAACACTCTACCCATGGAGCATTCAGTGAGAAAATCCCATTAATCCCTGTACTACAAGACAGCTGATTAATCTCTTTACTAGTTACGTTAATTTACGTTAATTTTCGTTATCGGTTACTAATCACTAAACGATGGTAAACTCTGATTTTACAATGTCCAAAGTGCTAAGAGAACGGTAATCACTCATATTTACCCTTAGAGTAATTAATTACTATCCTCAAGATCAATAATTAAACAATTAAATATGCAACCTTTCACACTGGCTCAGCAATTTACATTAAGGTATGAATTCCGTGTGAACCTTCCATTTTCAGACCAATTCAGGTGATTAAGGACGCTAATCACCACGTTTACGTTATTCTAAAATGACGTTACTCTTCCCACGAGTCAGTCAAGTGCCGGTACTTCCGGACAGATAAATAACGACGTTACGTTAATTTTTTTTTTTTTTTTTTTAATTTTTACATGCAAGCATGCGTATAATGTACAATAAAAACAGAACAAATATAACATAGAACAAAAGTACAAAGCACACACACGTACAATGACAAAGGAACGAATCAAGAGAAGACCAGCCAGAAGGGCTGACCACAAAACAAAAATGCATATACAAACATAACACAAATATAAACACAGCATAATACAAACATAAGGGAAACAGAGAGGCGAGAAACATACAAAACAAGTCCGCTAACACCTCACACACATAATGCACACAGAACAAAGAGCACACCCCAACAGCCTGAAGGGCACACAAGATGACAAACAAGCGCACACGACATCCACAACCGAACACACAAACGCATAGGAACCGCACACCCCCCACTAGCCATACAAGAAAACCCACAATACAAACCGGAGCACGCAGGAAACGGGAAACAATACCCACCCCACCCACTCACATACACACCCCACAACCAGACAACACAAAATACATAGAAATCACTTGCGAGGAACCTCGTGAGAAATGTACTTCTCCGGGAAAAGATCATGAGGATATTTCGCCTTGTAAGCTTCCCAGACTAGATCTTCAAGGTCGGTAGGGTTTTTGATCCCCCGCTCTCGAGCGGGTATCTTAAACTCGGGAACAACTATATCTGGCGGCATCGGCCAACGCCCAAGGTCACTGACGCAAGTCGCATAACGAGGCTGGGGAGCGCCAACCACGCCCTTCGAGGAAGCAGATGACACCGGAGAAGCGGACGAGGGTCGCCGAGCCTGCCACGCCTTCTTCATCGGAGCAGGTGCCGGACGCTGAGACGATAGCACTTCCACGGATACCGCAGGAGGCACGGAAGGGACTGCAGGAAACGGAAGAGGCGGCAAGACCGCCGCCGAGGAAATGGGTAACGAGGAAGGGGCCACAGAACATCCAGAGCGAGCATCCTTTCTCAACATCACTACCAGGCCACCCCGCTCACCACCAACTACAGCAGGGGGAACCACCGCCCACGAAGAACCGGAGCCATCCGACGCAGGCAACGCACCTGAAGCAGGACCCTCAGACACCGGACCAGAAGGTGAGGCCGAAACGCCGGCACCGGCATCCTCAGGCAAGTGTACCTCCGATTCGCCAACATCAGCCCACGCAGAAGAACGCCGGGAACGCTTAGGCTCGGGCCGCACATCATCAGACCCGGAGGCAGACTCAACGACCCGCGCAGCACCAACCGAGCGAACCGACGCACACCGCAGCACGGCAGCCTCCTCAACCACAAGGGGCACCAGGCCAGGCATAGGAGGGAATGCCGGAACCACCTCAGCTCCCAGCACAGCCGGGACAGACACAGCAGAGGAAGAACTGGAAGACGAGGGGTCTGAGCAAACGGCAGGCGGAAGAGGCTCAGGGACACTAGGCGAGGACCCAACCTCCGGAGGAGATGCGGCAACAACAGGGGGCGCAACAGGTGGAGCAACAGCTGATACAGAGGACACCTCCTCAGCCGAAGAGACGTCCATACCCACCGAATCATCCCCCACAGGAAGGGGCGGAAAATCCTCCTCACTGAAGAGATTCACTGGCGCAACAGCAGGCGCAGAACAGTCAGCAGCCTGATGGCCCAAAAGACCACAACGATAACACGTCCGCGGCTGACGGGCGTAAAACACCCGAACGTTGTACCCCATAAGGCGCACAGAGGACGGAATATCCGCCCGGAGTCTCATGCCCAGGGTGCGAATGTTAGACCTCACACCCTTAAGAGGACTAGAAGACACCACGTTCACTCTCACACTAACAACTGCGCCAAACCGGCCGAAATACCGCCGTAGCAGAGCCTCTGGAAACTCCAAGGGAGCCCCATGCACACTTATGTAAGTAAGTGCACCACTCCTATCCGAGAGGGTGACAGTGCCCGCACCATCCGGCAGGGGCAGTGTCCGGCCCTCGTATCGCCGGAGAAAATCGCGATACGCCACCTCCTCTGCAAACTTCACAATTGCCCTACGGGCCGTTACCAACTCGACCCCATAAATCGCAAACACAGGGACAGAGAGCATTTCACAAACCAGGGCAATCTCCGGGTAACCAGCCCGCACAGAGAACTCTAGTCCCACAGACTGAGCCCGGACGACAGGGGGTAGAGGGACCCCCATCGTAACGCCACGTCAGCACAGGCGAGCAGAGAAACACCCGCCCCCAACAAGCCGAAACGGGCAAACCAGACGTTACGTTAATGGAACAATGGAGCCTTCGTGTGAGTCGATCAACACGGATCGAAATTATTACTTTGACTTCCTGAAACACGTCAATTACCCGGTCCACTGACCGTTAATTACGACAGACAATACTCTAATTTCTTGTCTGGCTGATGGCTAGACTACCCTGAGACTACCGTAGCTGCTTGCAGGAAAAATAATTAAACCAAACGTATTCTACGTTACTCAAATTGTTAAAGAACAAATTCTCTTAAAGCAATGGGCGTTCCCTTGGTTACGTTAGATTAATTGCCTCGCAATCACCTCACTGAATACTGAACATCGATGTCCTACCAGATAAACAGGAGAATATAAAACCCAAGTACTCGTCTACAGCCGAGTTCACCCACGACAATGCTAAATCAATCAAACAAATCACAGTGATTTACGTTACAATTCGGTTGCAATAACAATACTGCAGAACACTAGTAAATAATACTCAGAGCATGAACCCTCAAGAACACAGCCCCACAACGACTTACTGAACTGCAATCACAAACGGTGATTACTCAACACCAGCAACCATCACCATTAATGAGGTGATTCCTGGCTGCGCCACCAGAGGATGCAGACGTCGGGCTCTGGCTGTCAGTAGTCGTCTGCCATTGCTGAGTGGCGGTTGCTGTTGGGGGCGGGGGGGGGGGGGGGTTTGGAGCACTCGCTGGTTGGGGCCCCACCTGCCAGTATGGACGGGGCTGGTACTAGCCGCATTCGGAGGATAGACACAGTGCTGCTGGATTATTCTGCTGATGTGGACTGGCCCGTTGTAGAGGTTGCCCTCCTAGACGTCCTCCGTGTTGACGTCCCCGAGCTCCTGGGCCTGGAGAAGTTGTCGCCCACCCGTGTTGCGGTGTCGTTCGCCACGTCACATGCTTACCGGGAGTTTGTGGCTCGCTGGAATGGCCGCACGCTTCTTCTTCCGGCTTTGGCGGTGTCTGTGGAGATCACGGATCCCTGGGGGCCCTTGACGTTTGTGAGTATTCACGGCGTGCCTGTGACCTTCCCCGAGATGACCCTCATGTCCTTGTTTACGCGGTTTGGGTCGGTGGTGAAGCACCGGTTCAACACTTTGAGTGCAGGCCGGCTGAAGGGGGTCCGGCTTGGTTCACACATGCTTGTCATGCGGCTCACGAGCCCTATACCGTCCAGGGTCTCGTATCGTGGGGCTGTCTCTGAGGACTTTCTATCAGGGTCAAACCCGCACGTGTTTCCGGTGTGGTGCTGAGGGCCACGTAGTGGCTGGTTGCGACGCTCCTCATATAGAAGCCCCTTCAGTTTTCCTAAAGGCTGCTTTTCCTCGCTTATCTGTGCTGTGGACTCCCCGGGCGGATTCTCGCTTTGTGCAGGTGCCTGGTGTGGATCCCGCGGCGGTTCTGGATGTCGCTACATCTGGACCGAATATGTCTGCCCCGCTGGTGAGCTCGGGGGACCTGGGGGCGCCTGTTTCGGACCTTCGTCGTTCGACACCTGCGGAGGTTCATCCGCATCCGGTGGCCTTGGGCGATGTTGTAGGGGTGGCGCCTGCGTCTCCTGCTGGAGGCCATGTGCTTCCCGGGGCTGACGGGTCGGTGGTATGTGTGTCTCCACCCACGTCCTCTACCTCGTCGCCTCTGGCAGTTTCCTCATTGACAAGTACCTCTTCTCTTCTGCAGATTCCGTCGCCCTCACTGGATACCTCATGTGTGCTGGAGTCTACCCTTCCGCCTGCTGTGTCTCTTCCTTCTCCGACTCTGGTCTCCGTTCCTGGTGGTGGCTTTTTGCCCCGCGTTGTTGAGGCTGCTGTTCTGCGCGATCGTGCTGCCCCGGCTTTGGGGCCGCCTGCCGATGGTTCTTCTGGGACACCGCTTGCTGGGGGTGACAGCTCCGACGATCAGCGGCCTCTTTTTAAGCACCGACGCTCGGCGTGGGTGCGTCAC